TCGTGTGAGGTTGTTAAGTTGGGAACGCGGTTGTTCAGCGAATCTGGTTTCCCTCCTGACTTTGCTTGTCAGAAGGTCACTGCGGCCGTCATCAATAAGAACCAGTTGCCAAGCCTCTGATTTCATTGCTACGTGACCCCCCAGGACGCTACATCGGTCGTCAGTGTGAAAAACTGTCACGAGTTACTTCCTGTTCTGACCCAAACCTGGTTCCAAGGAAGCCAACACGAAACGGAGGTAACAGCAAAATCTTTCAATGATTCTTTACGAATCCAGTTCCTTCATGGTTAAAAGGCTGCTTCAAACTAATTGTCTTTGATAAGAATGAGCCTCGCCAAGGTTGTGAAATCTGTTAAACCAGGGGTCTCCAACCTTGGCAGCTTTAAGACTTGTGGACTTCAACTCCCAGAATTCCTCAGCCAAACAATGCTGCCGTCATAGGCCGTGTGTTCGAAGGGGAGGGGCTTAAAGCTGCCAAGGTTGGAGACCCCCTGTGTTAAACTACCCATTAACCCTTCTCCGGTTTCCCATGCCTTTCTGGCAGCCAGAAAAAAAGAAAGAAACTTTTTGCAAAGGAACCTGGGAGGTCAGTCCCTCGTTCCCACTATCAGATTCCCCATTTTTGGCTGAAATTGTTGGGAGGGGGGGACAGATAGTAGGGGAGGGGACCCTGGGAAAACCCTGCTCTCGTCATAGGCTGTCTTTCCCCCTTTTTTGTCTTCCTTTGTCCGAAAATGCAGGCTGATAAGCCACAAGGAAGCCATATGCGGCCTGGAGATAAGCTAATTAAGTGGCAGGCAGATGCTGCAGAGAAAGAAAGCACACACACACACACACACACACACACACAACACACCCCTTTTCTTTTCCTTCTGACCAGGAGCTCTCCGGATTCGCCGAGGACAAAATTGGGAATGATGCCGACGGATTCGGGAGGGAAGCCCTGGGGGACCAGAGCCAGGATTGTGGGTTGAAGAGAGGGATACACACTATATGAGATGAGAATAGAAAAAAAAAAAGGGGGGGGGGGTTGGAGGGAATCCATAAATTCAGCCTGCAGCCTTTGGGTTCGGCGTTCGGGACTCAGCATTTCTGATAGAAACCTGGTTAGTTTCCAGCAGATTTTGCACTTCAAAATGAATCCCTTGCTCTCTTAAGTAAATCCTTGCAGTCTAGAAAGTGGGAAGTTGGCCATGGCAGGGAGGACAGTTGAAAAGAGAGAGGGAGAGGGAGAGGGAGAGAGAGAGAGAGAGAGAGAGCAGTCTCTTCTTGAAAGTCTCAGGTGATGAAGCTCCCACAACTTCCGAGGGCAACTTCTGTTCCATGGGTTGATTGTTCTCCCTGTCAGAAAGTTTCTCCTTGTTTCCAGGTTGAATCTCTCCTTGTTCAGTTTCCATCCATTATTCCTTATCTGGCCTTTGGGTGCTTTAGAAAATAGCTTGACCCCTTCCTCCTCCCTGTGGCAGCCCCTCAAATATTGGAAGACCGCTATCCTGTCTCCCCTGGTTCTTCTCTTCACTAGACTAGCCAAGCCCAGTTCCTGCAACCGTTCATCATATGTTTGAGCCTCCAGTCCCCTAATCCTCCTGGTTGCTCTTCTCTGCACTTTTTCTAGAGTCTCAACCTCTTTTTTTATAGTGTGGTGACCAAAATTGGATGCAGTACTCTAGGTGTGGCCTTACTGAGGCTTTATAGTTTTTGTACTCAGAGAGCAGATGGAAGGACCACTTGTGTGTGAAATTGTTGTGGTGTAAGATGTGGCTGCTGTCGGGCTCCGAGTACCGCCCTGCTTACCTTGGAGTTCGCCATCTCTAATGGGGCTCGGTTGGTGGAGGTGACTGTGGGGAGATCCGTCACGTGCCAGCCATTGTCTCAACATCTTTTTTATAATGTGGTGACCAAAACTGGATGCAGTACTCTAGGTGTGGCCTTACTAAGGCTTTATAGAGTGGTATTAATACTTCCCTTGATCTCGATTGTATCCCTCTGTTAATGCAATTTAGGATTGCATTGGCTTTTTGGGCTGCTGCTGCACACGGCTGGTTCCTATTTAGCTGGTTGTCCACTAAGACTCCAAGATCCCTCTCCCAGTTACTGCTATTGAGCCTGGTTTCACCCAGTCTATTTGTGTCCTTTGGGTTTTTCTTGCCTAAGTGTAGGACTTTACTTTTCTCTATACTGAATTTCATTTTGTTAGATAGGGCCCAGTGTTCTAGTCTGTCAAGATCCACCTGGATCTTGAGCCTATCTTCTTGGGTGTTAGCTATTCCTGCCAGCTTAGTATCATCTGCAAATTTGGTAAGTTTGCCCTGCCAGTGTTGGTGGGAGTGGTTTTTTTCCCTAAGAAGTTCCTAAATTGGGGTATTTTTATTTGATGGATTGTTTGTCTGGTGTTAATCCCTGCTTATCTGAGCATTGGCTGCTGGAGAAGATTATGTGGAGTTCTTGCTTCACTCTTCCCTTGACTGTTTGCGTGTAGACATTTTGTTACCCAGCTAGGTAACACCGTCATTCCCTCTGCAAGAAACAGCTTGCTCTGTCAGTGTTAGTTGGGATACGGTTTTCTCCTAGGTAGTGGCTTGATTTGGGTCTTGTTTTCTTCTCCATTGTTTGTCTGGTGTTCATCCCCACTTATCTCAGTGCTGTCTGCTGGAGAAGATATGTGGAGACCTCGGTGCACTCTACCCCTGGTTGTCCGCTTGCAGGCATTTCATTCCCCAACTAGGTAACATCATCAATGCTAGAGGGGAGTGGGGTGCTCTCTGACTTGGCAGCTTTCTTTGCAGACATTTCATTACCCAACTAGGCAACACCATCAGTGCTAGTGAGTGTGTTCTCTGTTATTAGCTCGTCTCGCCCAATATTGGCCAGGGTGTATTTTCCTTCTTGGTTGTGCTTTAATTAGGGTGCATCGTTTTCCGCTTGATGGAGAATCTCGCCGGAAACAATTGATGGAGGATCAAACAGAAAACAACTGATGGAGAATCAAGGAGAAAATGATTGACAATCAGACTGAGAGTCTGTCAGTCAAGGGTTCAGAAAGAAAGCTCGATCGGGAAGACGGTGGGAGTCAGCATTTCCTGTGATGTAATCTCAGTTCAGTTCAGTTCAGAATAGATCTGGAAGGGACCTTGGAGGTCTTCTAGTCCAGCCCTCTGCTCAAGCAGGAGACCCTATGCCAGTGATGGCTGACGTTTTTGTCGCCGTGTGCCGACAGTGTGAGTGTGTGCATGTGCACATGCGTGCCTGCACCCATAATGCAATGTGCGCATGACATCCCTGTGTGCACCCTGCCCCCCCTGTGCATGCACGGCAGATACCCAAAAATCAGCTGGCTGGCGGGCTAGTCTTAAAATGGCAATACCCAATACTACTAACTAGAGCATACAAAACATTTGCTAGACCAATACTCGAATACAGCTCATCAGTCTGGAACCCACATTACGTATCTGATATTAGCACAGTAGAGAAAGTCCAGAAATATTTCACAAGAAGAGTTCTCCACTCCTCTACTCGTTGCAGAAGACCTTATGCCACCAGACTCGAAATTCTAGACCTAGAAAACCTTGAACTACGCCGCCTTCGGTCCGATCTAAGTATAGGATATAAAATCATGCATTGCAGTGTCCTACCTGTCAATGAATACTTCAGCTTCAACCATAACAATACAAGAGCAAACAATAGATACAAACTCAAGGTTAATCGAACCAAACTTGATTGCAGGAAATACGACTTCAGCAATAGAGTGGTCAATGTCTGGAATACTCTACCCGACTCTGTAGTTTCTTCCCCAAACCCCAAAAACTTTAACCTTAGACTGTCTACTATTGACCTCACCCCTTTCCTAAGAGGTCTGTAGGGGGCGTGCATAAGCGCACCAACGTGCCTACCGTCCCTGTCCTATTGTTTCTTTTTATTTTTCTTATATGTATCCATGTATTTATAACTATGTTTTAACTTATACCTATTATCTTGTAAACAATTGACAAACCAAATAAAATAAAATAAAAAATGCTGATCCATCCTTATTGCGTCAGCCTTACAGCAGATGGTCAGCTCTTAAAACTCAATACCTTAACAGCCGAGAATAGCTGCTGGGATGCTCTGAGGAAGGATGATTCCAAAAGAAGAGAGTATTTGTAGTTCAGGGTTGAGCTGTGGGGTCCTCGGTGTTCTCTGAGCTTGGTTGTTTTCTTGCAGACGTTTCACTACCAGCCTAGATAACACCATCAGTGTTAGAAGGGAGTGAGTTTGCTCTCTGTCTATATACAGCACAAGCCTCTTCTAAGGAGGAGGAGGAGGAGGAGGAGGAGGAGGAGGAGGTCGTCATCCTTGTGTTCTCTGAGCTTGGTTGTTTTCTTGCAGACATTTCACTGCCAGCCTAGGTAACATCATCAGTGCCAGAAGGGAGTGGGGTTTACTCTCTATAAATGACTTGCCCTGTCAGTTTTGGTGGGGTTTTCTCGGTGGTTCCTTGATTAAGCTGTTATTTGCTGCTTGGTTGTCGGCCTGGTGTTAATCTTGGTGTTGATCCCTGCTTATTTGGGGTTTACTTGCTGTCAAGGAAGTGTCTCAAAGAGAAGAGGTGCCTCAAAGCAGACAATTTAAAAAGCAAAAAAGGAAACAAAAAGACTTTAAAAAAAAAAACCCTCCTCGACAGAAATAGCACCCAGAGAAGCAGGGGTTGATACCAGACAAACAAACAGTAAACAATGCCCCAGTCAAGGAACTACCAACTAAGACAAATCATCAAACAGTAAACAAGAGCCTAATCATTTGAACCACCGAGATCCCTCTCACCAACACTGACCCTTGTATATAAACACAGAGAGAAAAACCCCACCCCTTTCTAGCACTGATGATGTGGCCTAGCTGGGTGATGAAATGTTTGCAAGACAACAAGCACGTTCAGAGAGCCCCAAGGACCTCACAGAAGGATGATTCCCAGCAGTTTTCTCCCCAATCTTGCCCTCATCTTCTTTTTCTTTTCCTTGTTGCAGGAATGTGCTGGCGAGCCCCTCTTTTCCCTCTTCTGCGCCATCAAGCAGCAAATGGAGAAAGGTCCCATTGACGCCATCACGGGAGAAGCCCGCTATTCCTTGAGTGAAGACAAACTCATCCGGCAACAGATCGACTACAAGACCCTGGTGAGTGATGGGGGTGCCTGAAAAAGGAGAATATCAGGGCCCAGGAAAGAGGGAGGGAGACAGCGTTCTATTCGGGACCCAAAAGAAACAGAGATAGATAGATGATAGATAGATAGATAGATAGATAGATAGATAGATAGATAGATAGATAGATAGATAGATAGATATAAAACAATTTGGGTTTGCAAGAAAATAAGGTGGTCATGCAATAGACTTGCAGCACAAAAATGTTGCCCTTTGATGTCAACAAGATGGCCCTCATCCAGATACAGGTACAGATTAACAGAGTTGGAAGGGACCTTGTAGGTCATCTAGTCCAACCCCCCCCCTGCCCAAGCAGACCCTACACCATTTCTGACAGATGGCAGTTTCTCCCGAATTAATTGTCATAAATTTCTCCGAATTAATTGTCATAAATTTCCCTGAATTAATTATCATAAATTTCCCCGAATTAATTATCATAAATTTCCCCGAATTAATTGTCATAAATTTCCCCGAATTGATTGTCTTAAATACATGCCAGTTGCCCGGTGCTTAAATTTTGACACGTGACCCTGGGGGGATAATTGTAAGAGTGAAAACTGGCCATAAGTCACTTATTTCAGTGCTGTGGTAATGGACACAAAATTCGTGAGTGTAAATCGAGGTTGTAAATCAAGAAATATGTAACTGGACCGTTGGATAAAAATGTTAAGAAAAATCTTCCGTTTTTGTGGGACTGTATAGAGCACAGTGTTTTTCAGGGAGAAACTATTAAATAGATACTTTTTTAAGTAAATCTTTTGAGGCCAGGCTTCAAATTGAAGGTTCCTGTGAACATGCTGGTATTTTGCCACTTGTATCTTTGAACAATCACTAAACGAATGGTCGTAAATCCAGGACTACCTGTGTTGTTTACCGAAAGATGATAAGATAAGGTAGGGTAGGGTAAGGTAAGGTAAGGTAAGATAAATAGGAGGGGAGGGGAGGAGAAGGGAGGAGAGGAGAGAAGAGAAGAGAAGAGGAGAGGAGAGGAGAGAAGAGAAGAGAAGAGAAGAGAAGAGAAGAGAAGAGAAGAGAAGAGAAGAGAAGAGAAGAGAAGAGAAGAGAAACTTTTATTGTCATTTTTTTCCCTGTGGGCACTCTGGCACATGTTAAAAATGAAAATTCTGTTGCCTGCTCTCCAAAGCATACACATACATAACACACATATAGATATGCTATATAATATACCTACCCTAACCCAGACCTTCCTGGGTTCCCCAACTTTCCCGGGGGAAAGAGGGGATGATTTTGTCAGAGGGGAAAGCACATGTGTGTGTGTACATGTGTGCACACCAGCACCCATGATGTTGATGCTCGCACAAGTGGGGCTGCGAACACCCACAAAGGACCACGAGCACCTGTGATGAGACTCATGCGAGTGGGGCGTCTGCAGGGGTGGGATTCTACCAGTTCTCACCTGTTCGCTAGAACCGGTTGTTAACATTCTAAGCAGTTCAGAGACCCAGTTGTTAGAAGAAATTACTGGCCTAATCCTGTAAGGAAGGCAGGAAGGAAACATTTTGGTGTTGCTTACAGAAACTGCCTCTCTGTTAACCCTTATTACATTCTTGGCAGGACTAGACTTCCTGTCTCAGGAACTTCTCTGGAGTTTTTCTTTCCTCCTTTGCTGGTACTTTGCTTGTGTGGAGTGACCATTCAAAGTTACAATTAAAGTGACTTATGACCATTTTTCACACTTATGACTGTTGCAGCATCCCTACAGTCATGAGAGGCCAGGGGAGGAGATGCGTGCCTCGATGTGAGTGATATTGAGTTGGCCACACCCAGCCAAAAACATGACCACCAAGCCATGTCCACCCAGTCACATGACCACCAAGCCACGCCCACTACCTAAGCCACGCCCACAGAACTGGTTGTTAAAAAATTTGAATGGGCGTCTGCCTGCGCAGAGGTGTGCACACCAGCCAGCCACTCACACAGCCCAGTGGCAATTAGTCTGTGCCTCGGTACTGGGCCTGTGGACCACAAGTTGGGGACCCCTTTCCTAACATATAAATACATATAAATATTCATCACTGTTGTAAGGAGGTGTTGGAAGAAATATCCATCTGGTTTAGTTCCCAGTTGGGAGGAAGACACTGGAAATGGGGAGGCTGATTGGGAAGAGGGTTTAATGATGAAGCAGAACCATCAAGCCCATGGTTCTGGTGCAGCTGACCACATGGAGTTGAGAGTGTATGGGGGGGGTGTATTTATACCTTCTCTTGGGCTTTGCACTTGAGCTTCCTGTTACTCTGCAAGAACATGCATTCTGTTGGCTGTTGTAGGGGTCATATAAGGGTCATAGCTGGCTCTGTAGTTTGTCTGAGCTAAGTTTGGTTGAAGTTTGAACTGCTGATGCCATGTCCTTAGGAGATTGTGCCATGTGGTATAAACTCTGCTGCTATGTGGTAGAGGGTTAATCCTATTATGACCTGAAGGGTCATGTTTCAATCCCATCATCCTGGAGCTGGGGTTTTTTTGTCTTGTAGATGGGCTAGCCCAGTGATGGCGAATCTTTTTGGCACCGAGTGCCCAAACCAGGACATGCGTGCATGCGTGTGCCTCTGTGTGTGTGCTGGAGCACTGGAAAACCAAAGATCAGTTGGCAGGTGCACCCATTCCTGTTTTTGGTCATTTGGAGGCTGTTTTCAGGCCGTTTTCCAGGCTGTTTCTAGGCCATTTTTCAGACTGTTTTCAGGCTTTTTGGGGGACCGAAAAACAGCCAGAAAAAGGGCCTGAAAACATCCTGGAATATGACCTGAAAAAGGGCCCAAAAATGACCTGGAAAATGGCCCCAAAACGCCCTGAAAACACCCTGAAAACACCCTGAAAAAGGCCCAAAAAACAGCTGGAAAAAGGGCCTGAAAACATCCTGGAAAATGGCCTGGAAAATGGCTCAAACATGGCCTGGAAAATGCTCTGAAAAATGCCCTCGAAAAAAAGGCCCCAAAAAGGCCCGAAAAACAGCCGGAAAAAGGGCCTGAAAACGTCCTCGAAAATGACCTAAAAATGGCCAAAAATGGCCTGGAAAATGGCCATTTTGGGGGGACATTTTCCAGGCTGCTTTCAGATCATTTTTTGAGCCAAAAATGGCCCAAAATTCCCTGAAAACACCCCGAAAAACGCCCTGAAAGCAGCCTGGTTTTTGGCCGATTTTGGGGTCATTTTCCAGCTTTCTTGTGCCCGCAAAGACCAGCTGGCTGGCACGCATGAAACCAAAAGAGCAGCGGCTCTGGCACACATGTCATAAGTTCGCCATCCTGGGGGCTAGCCCAATCTTTTTCAAAAAGCACCAAATATCTGCTGGTGGAGGGAAGGGAGGTTGAGTCTGCTTTCTGTCTTTTAAGAAAAAAAACCATGCTTCTCCCTTTCTCATCCAGGGAAATATAATATTCTGCCTTTTTAATATTTCTCAAAATATTTCATTCTTCTAGGAGAGGGGTGGGTGCCTTCCCACAGAGGCCTCCCACATTGTGTGCCCACTGCCGTTTCCCTGGGTTGTGAGCACAGCACATGCATCGTGAACCCATCTGTTTAGGTGCAACAGGCCCCAGAGAGCCGGAGTTAAAATCTCCCGTCTCTCATTCCTCGTCTGCCTCAGAACATACAGCCTCTCGGTCCCAAAGAGAAATCCACAGAGGGTGTTTTTTTTGGTAGAATTGCTAAAGGGAATCCTGTCCTTGGCAAGACGTGGAAGAGTTTCTCCATCTCCCACAGAAATTTGGAGGCATCCTTGTTCCACCTGATTTCTCAGGCGAGACGTTGTGTAGAGAACTCTGGTTTTGCTTACAATGGGAGAGGAGAAGAGAATGGAATGAAATTGAATGGAATGGAATAAAATAGAAAAGAGAGTAGAGAGTAGAGAATAGAATTGAGTAATATAGAAAAGAGAGAATAGAATAGAATAGAATAGAATAGAATAGAATAGAATAGAATAGAATAGAATAGAATAGAATATGGAATGAAGAATAGAATAGAATAGAATAGAATAGAATAGAATAGAATAGAATAGAATAGAATATGGAATGAAGAATAGAATAGAATGGAATGGAATAGAATAGAATAGAATAGAATAGAAGAGAATAGAAGAGAAGAGAAGAGAAGAGAAGAGAATAGAATAGGACAGGGGAGGGGAGGGGAGGGGAGGGGAGAGAGGAGAATGAAATTGAATGGAATGGAATAAAATAGAAAAGAGAGAAGAGAAGAGAAGAGAAGAGAGTAGAGAATAGAATTGAATAATATAGAAAAGAGAGAATAGAATAGAATAAAATAGAATAGAATAATATAGAAAATAGAATAGAACAGAACAGATTAGAACAGAACAGATTAGAACAGGAGAGGAGAGGGGAGGGGAGAGGAGAGAGCTGGAAGGGGGATCTTGGAGGTCTTCTAGTCGAGCCCCCTGCTCAAGTAGGACATCCTATGCTGTCCAGTGGCTGTCCAGTCTCTTCTTAAAAACCTCCAATGATGAAGCAGCCACAACCTCTGGTGGCAAGTTGTTCCGCTGGTTAATTGTCCTCACTGTTAAAGAAATTTATTCTTAGTTCCAGGTTGCTTCTCTCTTTGATTTGTTTCTATCCGTTGTTTCTTGTCTTGCCTTCTGGTTCTTTGGATAATAATTTGACCCCCCTCTTCTTCGTGGCAGTCCCTCAAATATTGGAAGACTGCTATCATGTCACTCCTCATTAATTGCACAAGTCTGCCTCCCTTTGAGGAGTTTTATACTCTGGGGGTCAGAAAGAGGGCTGAGAAAATATCTACAGACCCCTCACATCCTGGACATAAACTGTTTCAATTTCTACCCTCAAAATGACGCTATGGAGCATTGCACATCAGAACAGTTAGACACAAAGACGGTTTTTTTCCCCCTCGTGCCATCATTCTGCTAAACACCTAGTTCTCACAGTACTGTCTTATGTCTAAGGATATTTAGCCATGTAATAAGGCTGTATTACTGTTATTCTTCTCATCTT